TCTTGCATCTCCTTCTCTGTCAACCTCTTGAAATTTCCCCCGCTTCCTCCTAATTACTTCTCCCTAGTGGTCTCACGAAACCCTCCTGTTGTCGGATCCTTGGGTACTAAAAGAGTGGCCGTCGTCTTGTAAGAGCCCCTTGAATTTCTGCTTCGGGCTCCCCTCTCATGATACCATTGATTTTCCACCAGTTGCGCTAACTCCATGGCCTCTCCCAAGTCACGAGGCCTCATGACCTTCACTATAGCTCTGATCTCATATTTGAGTCTCTTCAGGAAGTTCCCTTCCAATGCCATCTCTAAAAATCATTCCACTCGACTGGCCAGATGCTCAAACCTCTCTCGGTAGTATGCCACTGATCCGTCCTGCACTAGTGCAAAGAATTGCTCATAGAAGCCTCCTTCCTTATCGGTTTGGAAATGTTCTATTAAATAATCATTAAACTCTCTCCAGCTCCGTAGGGATCTCCTCTGGCCACTCCACTGATACCATGACAGCACCTTCCCCTCCAAACATAAGCATGTTGCTATCAACTTTTCCTCCTCTATCAACCCATTGACGGCGAAGTACCTCTCCATCTTATAGATCCACCCATGTGCATCCTCCCCTCCAAAAATATGCATCTTCAGCTTCCTTACCTTCTGATCTCCCTCGTTTCCCCTTATTCCTCCATAATTTTCCTTTTCCCAAGTGCTTGGCCCTCCCCAAATCTCCCGATCTTCCCTTGCCCTTTCATACCCAAACCCTCCTTCAAATTCCTCTCCCCTTCCTTCTAAATCAGCACCTCGGCGGCCATAATATCCCTCCCTGCATTCCCATTCAGCACCCCTTTGCTCCTGCCCCCATACCCATGCCTTTCCCAATACCTCCCTTCACTATCCTCCCTCTAGAAAGGCACCAGATGGGGTCTTCTCCTTTCTCTCTCTACGATCTCCACCTGATCTTCATCCTTACGAATTTCAGAATTTGTATTCTTTCCTTCTGGCCCTTTCGCCGTTGAAGCAGCCGTTTGGTTGTGGAATTCTAACATCTTCTTCATCATGCCTCGTAAGTCAGCTACTTGCCCTTCCATGGAGGAAATTATTTCCTCCACTGTAGTCTTGATTTGGTTCATCTCCCCAAGCATAATATCCCACTAGCTCATCCACTTTCTTGGCCTTCATCAATCTCCGAATTTTTGTAGGTTCAAAAATCTGTATCTTGACCCAAAAAACAACAAATACAACTTCCTCCAGCCAAAAAACAACCGTTGATTTTCACATAAAAAGCCCACAAAAGGTACCAAAATCTGCTCTAATACCAATTTGAATGGAAATACTTGAATATCTCAAGTAAACCCTAATAAGATTGATAAAAAACTGCGGGAAAACTCAGTAATTTCAATGAGAACAATCAAAAACATTAGATTTTATTGTAGGAATCAAATCAACGAAAAGAAACAAAGCAATATACAATTGATCCTCAATTCAAAAGGAGGATCATTCTCTCCCAATCTCTAGATGAATCTAGAACCCAAGACACCAAAAAGTAACTCCAAGAGAACACAATAATCAAGCACAACCCTAACACTAGACAATTCCTATTTAATACAAATTCCCTATTTTCAAAAAAAAAAAAAAAAACTCCCTAATTTCAAATCTCGAATTCAAGTTTTCCCTCCCTGTCCTAGCCGCCCCTTCTTTACCCATTGGCTTACCTAGTGGGCCCATTAGGCTTAGGCAGCAATTCCCCCAAAGGGGGTCAGTCTCATGTAGCAGAGAACCTGCCCTACAAGGGCCGGTTGGGGTTGGGCCGGTTCAACCTGAACCGACTTAATACAATACAACCTAAAGGGGTCCTTTTCTATACAACAGCATAAACAAAAACAACAACATGAAGCCTTGATCCCACCACGGGGGAGTCTTTTTATATTATAAATTATTCAACACTAAATAACTCAATCTTTTGGATAAACATTATTATTATCATAATTATCCAAACATAAAGCAAACATGCAAAATACTAAAAGAAAATACATACAATGCAGTAAAATAAAGATGTAGTCCTATGACAAAATTCAAATATGTAGGGTATAATACATTGGAGCTCTACATCAGTTTACCTTGTAATAGCCAAAAGGTCAGGTACTCTTGGGTTAACCTAGAAAGCTGATTGATATAGCTTTTATAAGTCAATTGGACTACTAGGATGACCAACAAACCCTTCAACCAACTTTGGTCGCTAACTAAGTAGACATCCAAATTGTCCTACTAGCTAAGTAAAGTTATTTAATTGTTTGGCCCAACTTGGCTAAATTGGTTATGCGTTATGTGTGTAGTTGGCCTATGAGGCTGTATGAGGACAAGACTTGTCAATAGCTGACAAGTCAGCGAGTAGGATAGCTAGGTACCGATAGGATTAGTGGGAGTTGAGCACCTTGATACTGAGTAGATTGATTTTTTGATTGCATAGATTAGTACCCTAGTTGATATTCTGTGTTCTCCAATTATGAAGTATTATTGGATACGTGTGTTCTATAGCAAGGAAGAGGGTTGATCAGGGGCGGAACCATATAAAGCTTGGGGGGGGGGATGCGGAACCACATAAACAGAAAAATAAAATAGAAATATTATATGTAATTGTGAAATTAATAATGTATAGTTTTATTCATCCAGTGTTGATAAAGTTAAAAACAGGCTTGTTCAACGTGAAATGAGTAAATTTTTTTTAGAATGCAATTAGCATAATAGAATTTAGAATTTCATAAGATATCAGTTTGTTCATAATTTTTGAAAGTTTCTGTTCTTCCAATTAAACTACTATGCTTTACTACTTCCAACTGAGCAAACACTCAAAATATGATGAGCAAGTATCTTTTTTTGCTGAGATTAACAATGGTTATAGTGAAAGTACATATACATGTTTGTTATATAGGAAGTTTCCTAATTATAATTTGTTGCAGCCTGCATAGGATAGTGGAGTCTGCGAATAGTCAGCTAGCAGAGTGAGCAAATGAGAGTTGAAAAAGTTGAAAGTAAAGTTTAGGCTGACGAGTTGCATGTAGCTCAGGATGCCAACGGAATTGATCCTAGATGAAAGATTGTCCATGTCTGAAGAAGCCGAGAGATCTGCCACATCAAATGACGCCCTGTCTGTACCATCATCGAATAACGTTCACTGTCGCAGGAACTGGACAGTTGCAAGGTCATTCTTCTTGGCAGAACACTTTCGGCATTTGGCAAGCCTAGATTGCCGTCTCCTGGCTGCAGGCCATTGTTGGTGGTAGTCTGAGGGGTTCGAACTGTCCAAGTGTTGCAGTGCACCAGCTGCAACGTTTCTCACCGACGTGCAGGACCCAAACGAGGCCTAAAGCATAAGAGATAAGGAGATTGGGCTTGCAGCATAAATCAACCAAAAAGGGTAAAGCTAACTGCATGGCTATAGATAATTAATATATCAATGTATAAACGAAACATGTTGTACTTCTTATAACAGATTCTAGTATGATGATATTACAATTGTGTATATCAAACTATCATCACTATCATTTCATTCAAATGTATCCATGTGCAATCATGTCAAGTATCATTGTAACTTAATATCACAAATCAATCATTCATCAATTTGAACTCATATTTGTTTATATATATATATATAAAAAGTCGATTTTGTCAAATATCACACACAAAAAATGTAAACACCAATCAAAGGAAATTTCCTATAAAGTCATCACTCTATAGACCTGTCACCCTAGATAGCCAATACCTAAAATAGTTCTAGCGGCTTACATACAGGTGCAAATAATTTGATTTGAATGAATATTATTTATTGTATTTAATAAAACTAATGTATATGAAACTAGATTCTCAATGATAGAAATCAAATTCAATGACAGTCTGTGCACAATAAATCAAGGTAAAGTTGCTCTAGTACATGGTAATTTTGTTATGGACAATAAACAAGATACATGCTTGGCAAAAAATAAGTATTGAAAGTAGGAATGATAAAATATAATATTTAGGAACCAAATACAAGTAACAAGGAAAATGGCTCTAACAAAAAATGGTGCATCTATCCTTTAATAGATAACTAATTACCTCAAAGTGAGTTAGAAATTCCAAATTGATTAAGATCCCACCAATCAATCCGAGATCAACTCGTAGGTTCTATAGACAAGTATCCTAAATTAATATTTTGAATTATAGTGGAAAGTCAAACATAAAATAACATAAAACCTAACCTAAATAAAGGTATCAAAAGTCACTGCTCAACCCTATTCGCTAGACATTGCTACAAAATCAACATAGACTATAAATTATTATAGATATGAGATAAGACATTCAATATTACTCTACCGTTTTAAATAAGTTTATAATATTCTCTAAATTCCCAATACTTTAATCACAACCTAAGTAATAGATAATAATGAATTAGTTAAACTAAAATAAAATTAAAAAAAAAATCAAACATTTCTTACCAATTAGAGTGAAAAGATTGAATGGCAATTTCTCAAATGAATAAAAGAGAGAAGAAAGAAGACAGCTCACAACTATCATAATTGGCCCAATGGTTGAAGCAAGGGAAAGCTTGAGGTTGATGCTTGATCGAAGAAGGAAAGAAGGGTTTTTTATGTCAGCTTTCAATCAAAGGATGAAAGAATAGGAGGGTGGTTTCTCTATCGGCAATAGTGAGAGAAAAATAGAGAGAGAAGAGAGGGGAGAGGTTAAGGCTATGAGAGGGAGGAGGGTTGAGAGAGGTGTGATGCCTTAGGCGTGCTTTTCCTTAAATTTTACCCACAATGGCGATGGAAAGTAAGTCTCGAGCGGGAGAATCACACGGAGAGAAGTGAAATTGTGTGATACGTTCAATTAGGAAGAGCCATAACCACGGATTTTGATTTCGCGAAGATATGGAGTTCGTCCTATGGAGTTTGCACGATAGGACTGGAGTCAAGGTCTTGAGGGTCAGTTCAACCTTATCAATTCGTTTATAACAATGGCCAGCTTTCATCCATTGGACAATACAGTTGTTAGGGAGGATGCCACATGGTTGGATGACTCATAGTAAGATATGCTACAAAAGGCTATCCATAACAACATATCTTTTACAGAGTTGCTCAAAAGTATTAAGGGCTGTTTGGTTCGTAGGATTAGTAGTGCAAAGTAATGTAATGGCCTGTATTTCTTAAATTAGGGTATTTGGTTGATTTTGAGTGGAACAGAAGAAAATTATTGGAAGCATTAGCGATGTATTAGCGGAGGCCGATCCCGCGACTTCGAAAGCCGCTCAATTTGAGCGGATTAGAAATTCTCTCCCGCGATAACCAGCCTCGTGCGATGGTGTCGCAGACGCTGAGCTTATAATTTCTCTCTTCTTCTCCGTTCTTCCCACTCTCTCCCCGGCTCTCTAGTCCGAAATCCCCAACAGTTGGTCTCTCCCTCTCTAGAAATCGAAGCCCCCTCTTATAATTTCTCTCTTCTTCTTCCATTCTAGAATCGTGACGCTGATCAATGATGGCGGAGCAGAAACCTGGGGGTGGAGGGATGGGCGAAGGCTCGAAAGAAGGGGTCACCACTAGAGATTCGAACGGTGATATGCATGAAGGTGAAGTTTGATCGATTTTCGTCCTTGTACCAATTGCTTTGTTTAAGCGTAATTTTTCTCGATCTTGCCTAAATTTAGATGTAGGCAGCAGGTCTGCTTGTTGTTTCCTTTGCTTCTAGGAGTATGACCGTTCTCTCGGTTCTTTTCTGTGGTTGCATCATGATTGATTTTGGTTTTGGCTGATGGATGCTTGATGAGAGCTTAGGTAGGATGTTGGTTTTGATCATATATTCATTTCTGTGATATGTTTCTCAAGGTGAGAGATTTTGGAGCTCGTAGAGGTTGATATGTGGAGAATTTTGAGTTTTGGTGGTTATGATCTGCTAAGAATTGAGATGCTTTTTATGGTCTTTTTTATTTCTCGTACTTGAGGATTAGCTCTTAATGTACCGTCAGATTGTAGGATTCTGATGGCTAATTTGTCATTGAATGGAAGGGAGGTGCAAGTTTTTGGATGATCCCTTTGATGACAGAATCAAGCACACATATATTTTGGATGATCCCTTTGATGACAACTAGCTGAATTTGTTTCTGAAAAATCCCCAGACGGAAACAATATACTTAGGATCTAGATTTCATGATTTGCATCCTGAATTCTGTTCAATTCCTTATATTGGATGCATACCTTTTTTGGCTTGCTGTAAGGATGCTTTACCTTCATTTACTGAAAATATCTTTCAGATAATAACTATTACTTTATTTTGTAGGATAGAAAAAAAATATAGGTCTTCCAAGCCATACAATTATTATATAGAAGAGAATTCAATGAGAAGTGTCCTGCTAAGAAATTCATTGTGCTTTCTGAGAAATTGATATGTTAAAAAAAACATTTGGAATCATTTCAGGAATTTTTATTTTTATCTAAGTGATTTATATTTTATGAATTCCCCTTACATGAATTATTGCTCATGGATCTTTTTTTCTTGACGTTGAATTTTCTAGTTACAAAGATGGTTGAGCCATTCAAAGATGTTGCCGAACTCCATGAAACTCAAAAATATAATGATGTCCTAAAAGTGATTTTCATTCCGGCGAACATGGGCTTCCTCGACCGAGCCTTAAGGTTGCTGGCGAGGTGGTGGATGCTGATGATTTTCATTCCGGCGATACTATTGCTTGCGTTCGAGGCCTCGAAGCTCGGGTGGAAACAAAGCGAGACTGTCGAGGTGGAAAAGCGGCAACTGGAGGGTTCTCAGGTTCTGGTGGCGCTTGTTTATTTTGGCATTTATCTTATGTTGTTCAATGATCATGGTGATTTTTTTTATTTTTCTAGCCATGATTGTGTATCTTTTAATGATAGCCCTAGTTTCAATTGCTTCTCTTTTCTTGCTTTCATAGGTGAGAGAGGGAGTTGCCAAATTGTGGATGTTGGCATGCTTATGTTTTCTACTTATCTAGTCTTCGGTCTCATTTCCTGCATTTCTGTTGCTTCTCATTTCTTGGGTGGTAGTGGGTGTTGCCAATTTATAGATATTGTTTTGCTCTTATTTTCTATTTATCTATTTTGGTAATGTTAGCAGTTATAGGGCCCTGATTTGATGATTTCACTTTTGATTGGGAGAAATTTCTATCATTTCTAATTTGGTGTTCAGTTTAATCATTGCCTGAATATCATTTTTGACACTGATTATCTGTTGATTAGTTTGTCTTGCATTAGCTCTGGCATTTACAGTTGTTTTTAGTGGTGTGTTAGTTGGCTATTTAGGAGAATTGAGTGGCAGATGGGCTTTTGGCTTCATTATTGTTTGGGTACTACTCACTCGAGCAATTATCAATTTTTTGTTTAGTATTTTGGTTTTCTTGTCAGGTTTTTACTTCTTATTTTCTAGTGGTGGTGCTATTGGGGCGATTTGAATGCTCGTTACATGGAATATAATGAATCAGTTACCTCCAGTCAATGTTTTTTTTTACCGGTGAGCTTTGTCATTTACACTATATTGATATTTGTCATCCTATCTTTAGCATTAATCAGACTATTCAGTTGGATGGAAACCATTTTGTTTGCTATTTGGTTTGTCTTTATGATATCTTGACTATTATTGGCAGCTTCTTTTCTCATTTTTGGTCATTTTTTGTTGTTCATATCAATATTCCTATCAGGTTCAATACTCTTGTGAATATGGGCTTGTTCCTTAATGTGCTTTTTTGGGTTAGTTGATGGCAGGCTTCCCTAATACCGTCATCTTCACTAATAAGCTGAACTTTAATTGATGAATTCAAGTTTGCTTCTACTTTTTTCCTTGTTTTGCTTCTGTTATTTTGCAGGTTTCTCAACTGAAAATTATAACCATCAGGTAGGCCTACATAGAGTGATCATCTCTTGGAACATATTCAGTTTCAAGTCTCTGTCAGCACGTCTGAATAAGCCATTGATTTCATCACTGACATCATATATCTTCCCAAAATCAAATAAATACACCAGACACCCTTTCTTTAGCTTGTTAAGCTGGTAAAGCCAAGCCGCTTGGAGCCTCTCAAGAACATTACTAGCGTTCAGATCCTTAAGAAGGCTCTCCTCGCAGCAATCCTTTAGTGTCGCAATATCATGCTTATTAGCTGCACCAAGCAATGAGAGCCTGTGCTTCCAAAAATCTTCTTGATTTATGGAATCATAAATGTATCTTAAGAGAGCAGAGCAGGAATCCAATGACATATCTTCAATGTTGATTGAAGAAGATTCTTTTTCTTTTAGATCACATATAAACATGCTCTCAAAAACAGGGGAGCATGCCGAAAGAACAACAATTTCTATAGTTTTGGTTTAACGTTCAATTTACAATAAGTACGGGAGAACCAGTTAAGTTGTCCATATTTTTTGGTTCATACATTTCTAATGGAACTCTTTGAAGCCTTTACATGTTCAACTATCTTTGTGCATGTTTGATATCTAGTGATTTGCAGTTCAATTTAAAATTAATAGTTAAATTGACTGTTTGGTCATTTCTAGGATTTGGCTATGAATTCGTCAAATATAGAGATGAAAGGTAATTCAAAGCCCAAGAGGAAAAAATTTTATGAGTATTTTTTTATCTTTTGTTTTTTATTTGTAAATTTTCATTATTGCTGTTTACATGTTATAAATGAAAATCATGTGATTTAATTAATTGCTAAACGATTTTTTTTTTTTTTGCTAAATTAAAGAAAGAAATCAGATTGAAAATTTAATTTTTTGCAAATTTTTTCGTAAAAACATTACTTGAAAAATAAAAAATTTAAATTTTCAAAGAATTTTAGATTAAAATTTCTATCTAACACAAGTATATTTTCATCTATTGCAACACACTGCTAAATTAATACACAGAATAATTTTATATCTTATAATCTAAAAAAAATTATAATAAGATTGTGCAATAAATGAATACACTAATTTATATTTTATAACATCAAATAATATTAATTATTATAAATAAACTATTTTTATAAATACATTAGTTGTAATGCTAGAATAAATTATTATAAAAAAACCGCTTTTATTTTACTCTGGATCTACCAAACCAAACAAGGGAAACAATTCTCCTGTGTTTATTTTGCAAACAACCAAACAGGTGCAAACTATTCAGAATGCACTATATTTATTTTACATTGCATTTACTTTACACTGCATCTCTTTTTCAGACAACCAAACAGCCCCTAAGATAAATTGATCCATTAGTACCGGGAAACATGTCTAAGTGGTGTTGGACATGACCTAATCGTCCAAGTAGTTGACTATCAATGTGATAACGACCTTGCTCCCCATAAATATATAAATAGGAAGCTAAGAACTACTGTGATAACGAAAGGTGTTGAGAAATTTATATAACAAGCTAAGGGGACGTTGTGTGAGTGATTCTCCAACTCTTAGTGCATATATTGAAATGGGGGAAGTCCTAACTCCTTAATGTAGAATCTTGTTTGAGTTACTGCATGTTAAATTTCATGTATAATATATCTACCATATGTAAAGGCTTAGATGATGGCTGTGATGGAAGACTCCTATTAGAAAAGTTGAATTATGGTGACACATATGAAGCCATTAGTGGTTGAATTCTAAGGATGATTGAAGGTGATAAAGTATGTGTAACAGGAAGGTGGGCTTATAGTGTCAGTTTGTGTGTTTGAGAATGAATGGATGGTCTAAGTCATCGAAATGACCAACTGATGTGGTCTTAATGACTCAACTAAAATTAGTGCGGCATCACCCTATACGGCCAAGAAAATGCTTGTGCATGGTTGATAGGCATTTATGGTTGACAAAATATGGGTGTGGGCCTTTGTCGTTGATGATACATGGGCATCGAGCTCTATATGCCTAATGGTGCATGGGCGATATATATTTGGGGCTAACGGTATATCGGAAATGAGTCTTAATAACTAACATCATAAGATCAACATGACTATTGACTATCCACATATAGGTGATAGGTGATCCCATGACAAAATGATGTGATGAGTGTTCACCTTCATGATTATTCAATGCCATAATTATGATAATCATCAATTTGAAAGATATATTTTGTGTTAATGTAGTGATTGTTATCATGTGAGCAAGCATGGCACTTATTATATAAATGTTATTGATTCTCCCACTAAGTATAGATCATCCATTTGAATTTGCACTTTCACAAAAAATATGGAACAAAAGGGGTGACAAGCTTGGAGGCTAGATAGATATAAGACCCAACAAGACGGCAAGTCTATAGGGATGAATAGTCTTGGTGTCGCAGGCATGGTGAGAAAATGAGGACAGCTTAACATGCAAGTTTTTATGTTATCGCTTTTGGCTTGTCGAACATAAGGCCTTATGTAACTAAACTATGCTAATTTTCTGATAAATAAAAACTTCCTACTTAATGAATGCTTGATGGCTTCGAAAACCAACTGCCACATAAATGCACCTCCTGCTAGATTAAGAAGGCACTGACAAGGGTCACCACACTAAGGAGAACAATTGTCCACAAGTGATAACTCAAGTCAATGGCCTCTCTGGGAAACAACCATGGGAGATGGCTTGATAAAGGCAGATAACAACATAAGATGACTCCATAATCGACCGCCATCATGCTAAGTTTGTCATATAGCATGTTTTTAACAATCTTCTAGCTGGTGAAGAGGGGGATTTGGTCGAGGACAGATCGAAAGGCTTATTCTGAGTTATGATTTAAATTTTACGATGCTCACACTAGACATCAAAATTAGCTTGTGATACATCCAGACTCAAAAAAACTCTCCACCTAAAGGGTTTTTTAATGGAGCTAGTAAAGGAATTGGATTGTGTAGATCCCTACAACCATCATCTGAAGCAAGAAAGACGTGCAAACATAGGTGCAGGCTACGTATCATCTCCAAGTATCAAAACGCCTTCTTTAACCATATCAGTGATGGTATTGGAAGCACAAGCTCAATATCAAGAAAAAAGGGCAACAATACATGATCTTTTTTGTCATTATGGTTCTTCATTACAAGAATTTTAATGGCATCAATTACAAGAGTTTCAAGGGAATCAATAAAAATTCATGATGGTGCAAATTCTAGCTCGATATCATGAGCAACAAGTCACCGAAAGAGCCTCAGGAGTAATTGCTCAAGCTCAAGGGAAGTATGCTCAGACTTAAAGGAAGCAAGTCAAGCTCATATTTTTCATCATCCTATAAATCTAGATGCTCATTTGTAAATATTAGATCTGATGTAGAAAAACATTTCGTAATATTTTATGATTGTATTGTTTCTTTTTTTTTTTTATTTACCCTATAATGGAAGTCAACTAATGATCTTGTTAGGTTGGTGCTTTTGGAAATATCTCTTCATTTCCTTCACTTTGTCCCTTCAGTTTCTGTGTTGGTGTGTTGTTTCAGTTGCTGTCCATTTCCCATAAAGCTAATATTGTTGGTGGTTGTTGGTTTCCTGTTGGTTTTCTATGCAGACTTTCTTCACTGATTGTTTCCCCATGCTGTCAGTTCCCCTTCCTTTATTATTTCATATGTATTGATGGCTCTTATTGGTTTCTTGGGGGGCAGCACATTTATGGGGATGTCGGGCTCTTTTTTATCTATATACGGGAGTTGTTTGCTGCTGTTGGAGGGAGTTTTCGGTGAAGTGTTTACATACAAACCTGCGGGTTTTAGCTTGCGAGCTAGTCACCTATTCCCTTCTCTTCTTATACTTCTTCTTGGTCTTCTTCCTCTTCTTCTATTTTCACGGTAACCGTCCAACTGTATCCTTCTTCTCTTGTGAACTTTAAGGTGTTTGCTGCCACATTTTGTTTGGTATTTGCTGGTGAAGGGTGGACTTGTGCTGGATCAATTCAGTGGTGAATTCTGGATTAGATCTTTCTTTGAGCACCTATCATATATTTTAAAAGCTTTGCAGGCGAGGTGACCACTTGTTGGTTGTTCTGAGGGTAGTTTTTTATCTTACTTTTATTTGTTTTTCCCTTCGAATTTCGTAGCAGCTTTCTAAATAGACTTGTTTCTTCTTTATATTCTATTTTGTGGATGTTTATGAGTTATTGAATGGAAGAATTCCCTATTTGCTTTCCTAAGTGTTCTCCATAAAATTTTTAGAAACTTAGGTCGCATCAAGATCACTATTACAAACATCTTTAAATAAGTATTGTACACTGTTATAAAAGATTTGGTGGATGATTTATTAATTCTTTGGTGTGTGGTTTTGGATAAACTTCCATTTCTTTTGATAGTGTTATACATAGGTTCCAATGGTTATCATTGATGTTAAAATTGATTAGAGAAAGCATAAGAGAAAGTAGAATATTATTGGTCATATTACGCATCATACTAACATTGATCATGGGATGAAATGAAATAAATAGATTTTCATCATGCTGATATTTATGCCCATAATACTCATAATAATAATATTGGTCAAGTGATGGTATTGAATATATAGATCAGAAAGACATAATCAGCACATTCATCCCATCAATCTTAGGAACATGAGAAATATGTAGATATGGGAGATTAATATTGTTCATCCTACACATAGTATCCATTATTATCATGTCAAGTGGGTTGCTCATGTAATAATCTGAATACTTCATTTTAAGATGTGAGATAATATGCTTTCCATAAGGATTCATAGAAGCAATTCGAGGAGGCAACAAAATCATGCAAGTATAATAATCACAATTAATCTTTGTAGATGAACATATCTTTTAAGGGGAATCATAATAATAGCCTACATCAGCCTAATAAAGATATGCAGGAAAATTATCATTTAACTTCATATTTAAGATGACATCTAAAGAGGAAATTTTATTCTAATAGTGAAAATCTTAGTTTAGGTAGACTTTAATATCAACTTGTGACAAAATATAAAGTATATATCATCGGAACTAACCATAGTGTTTAACATTTTAATGGATAAGTGATAACAAACATAACCAAAGGAGTAAGAATGAGCAATTCTTATGACATACTAGAGAAATAAACTTAAAAGTACTAGGGGTAAAATGGGAGAATATGTACCTAAAAGCATAGAGTTCTACAAGCTTAGATTAGGGCCTCGTCTGATTACTGCACTCCTTTTATGTAAGCTGATAGAGAAGCTGTTATTGAAGAAACGGAGTTTTGCAAAAAAATGCTTAAGAAAACAAATACTCATTTAGTTACATCATTTTTTAATGCTTACGCAAAAGTAAAAACTAATTACTTTCGTTTGATTATGCTAAGCTACGCTATTCTCATCAGAAAATACAAAATTGCCCTTTGCTCCACTACTCGGAATCTCTTTGTTTACTTCCAAGGCGAATCGTTCTTCTAC